CCTGTCATTCACAAACCCTTCTTCCCTCCTTTTACAAATAGCATGTTCTTCATTCAGAAAAATTGTATAACCACCGTCTGCTAACATTTTAGTGTCTCTGTATATAGTATGTCTACATGTGAATATGAATACTTACATATGTATTTGTACATATACTAGACAAAACTTCATATTATACCTATTTATGATTTTGTATCTTCTTAACATCTTAAGCATTGTCTGATTAAAGTCCAATTTATAAATATTTTTATTGCATAATCTGATACTATTGTAAATAACCTTGGGATGGGCCACCTTGTACAGAAATCTTTTCTACACACATGATTATTTCTTTAGCATGAATGCTGAGAGAACAAGTAGGTCAGACTATGGGCAGTTGTGAGGCTATTAGTATGTATGATTTTCCAGAAAGGTTACACCTGTTTATGCAGAACCCTTGCTTTAGTGTCTCCTTGTCGGCCCTGACTTGTATATTCTTTAAAAATTACTCTCTATCATTTCTTGGGCTAACAGTTGCATTTGCTGCTATTTTTTTTTTTTTTTTTTTTTGGCTAATAAAAATCAATCACTAATAGTGATCACAGTTATCATTTCCATCTCTTTCGTTATTAGTGTCGGGTTTTTTATGACTTTTTTGTAGTTCTGTGAATTTACTCTTTCACCATTTTTTGAACGCATGTACATGGTAGGTACAATGCTGAAGAAGTACTTTTAGAAGTTAAAAAGCATGCCCTCGACAAGGCCATGGCCCCCAGAGCTCACCCAGAGGGAGACAGGACCCCGCCACAGTTAATATTACTGTGGAACAGCAGGTTGTCCTTAATGCCCGTGCAGAATGGATGAGACAGACTATACCTCAGAGTGTTTCTTAACCCTTTCCTCATTGTCAATCCCCTGAGAAGCATTTTTCCACCTTGTTTCCTAATTGCTCACCTCCCTCAGCCCCAGATGAAGTAAAATACTAAGGAATAAGATTTTGTTGGGTAGGTTAATCTTTGGAGGGCCATTAATCATTGTTATCCAAGAACCAAATTCCATCCCCTTGGGGGGCTGTAGCCCCCCAGGAATGTGTGTGCCAGAAAATTACCAGTAGGAGGGCTCACTGTGGGCAGGAGAGGTGTCACGAAGTTTGGGTCTGAGCCAGGTCATAGGATGGTCATCTTTGCAGCCCTTCCTAGCTGGAGGAGAGCAGGATGGGCAGGTGGGACAGGTGTGAGCACAGACCGCTGACTAGGGGAAGAGGTCATGAGGGGTGAGAGTGGTTCCAGCTTCTCCACAGAGTGTACCCTCATTTCCACCTTCAGGGTGGCCAGCTGACGTCACAAGGGCGTGATTGAGGCCTGGGTAAGTCACAGAGGTCACATGGGTAGTTGTAGCTAAAGGAGGTCTGCCTGCTTGTCTTCTCTCCCAACCTTTACCCTCACCCGATGATGTCGAGTCCACGCAGATGGCCTGGCCGGGCCACTAGCCTGCTGCAGAAGTCCCACATCCAAGCTCAGCGCTCATCGTGACACTAAACACCACCGCCTGCTTCCCAGGGACCTTCTAGGCTTCTCTGGCTCCCAGTACCTTTTTAGACTGTCTCTGCTTCTTTCAACCCCCCCCCCCGACCCCCATTCCTGGCTGGAGTTGGAGGAGTGGCCCCCTGCCCCAGCTTAAAGCAGCTGGAGACCGTTGGACAGAAGCCCCTCTCCCCGCCGCAATGCGAGAATCCTTTCCTGACTCCTGGGACCTTGTTCTATTGATGATCCTTTCTTTCTAGCATGCAGTCAGCGTTTCTCCAACGAGATCCTTCTCTTGCTTTCTCTCTCACGGGAGCATTTGGTTAAAAGCAGACACAGAAGAAGCACCTCTTCTCTCCCCGCTCACCACCACCACGATTAGCTTGGTGACTCAGACCTCACAGGGTCACCTGGCTCACTGGTCCCCTCCTTATTTTCCACCTGTTTCATTCCATCTGACTTCCCATCCCATCTCCCCGTCAGACCAGCTCTCAGCTGCCCATGATTCTGGTGTCCCTGTGCCTGCCTCCTCGGCAGCCCTGAGCACTGTCCCCTCCTGCTCCGCACACCCTTCCCCCCACACTCGGCCTTCCCCCTCCCCGGCCACCCATGTTGCACATCCTCAGGGTCTGACCCCCATCTCACCCACACCCTCCTTGTGCAGAGCCCCCCACATTGCCCCAGGCATGCCCCTCTCCCAAACAGACCTACACACACGGCAGTAGCTGCTTTTTCTTTTCCTCTTGAACGTCTCAAAGGCCCCTCAGATTCAGCCTTGTTGGAATCAAATTGCAGATTCCGAGCTCTGACCCTTTCCAGCCTTCCCTGTCTCCAAGACTCGCACCGCCGCCGCCTGGCTGCATGTCAGAGTCTCAGATCCATCCTGCAGCCTCGCTCCCCGTGCTCCCCACGTCAGATTGTCGCCCGGCCTTGTCCCTCTGCCGTGTCTGCACCCTCCCCCCGCCACGGATACAGGTGGCCTGCGACCATGCTTTTCAAGCTTGGCATGGAAGGGACAGGTGTTTTCCTTTAACTGCTCAATCTTTAGCAGACTGAAACTTCTGTAAAATTCAATCTAAATTAAAATATGAAAAACATGTACAAGTCCACTTTTTATCATTATTGCATTTGACATCAAATGCCCTGTCAAGTTGCTGGAGATGTTCCTGTTTCTTACCCCTTCTCGTTGAGGGCCCGTCATAAGCCACTGATGGGACGTTGTCCATGGTCTCCCTGGATGTGGTGCTGGCCAGGCCTGGGGTGGCTCACTGGGCTCGGGGCCACTCAGTCTCAGGGCAGCTACTTAGTTCTGCAGTGACTGCCCACCTCCCTCGTGGATCACAGAACCAGCTGCAGACAGACGTGTGAAGGAGGCTGGTCTCCAGAACCGTGTGTAGACACGCACAGGGCGAATCCAGCCTGCGGGCCACACATAGACCACCAGTGCCAGGCCTGGACACCTGCTCAGCCCCTCGGGTTCATGCTTCCTCCTCACAGGGAGGGGGGCTGCTGTTTCTAGAATGTGAGCAGGACACATTGCCCATCCTCTTGGAAGCCTGCAGAGGCTGGCCTGGCCTTCCCTGCCCCTTGTCCACACCTGCACTGCCCACCCCTACTGCCCCTCGTCCTCACTGCATCCCCACGGCCCGCTAACCAGGCCTCTGCCTCCCGGAGCCCCCCTCCTGCCCTCCTCACGGGGTCTCTTACCCATCCTCAGCCGGAGTCCTTTCCTCAGAAGACCGCCCTGAGCACTCTGCTCAGATCTACTGCCACCAGCAGGAAAGGCCAGCATGTGTGACATAGGCGGTTGGGAAAACAGCAACAATTAATCGTCCCTGCATACAGGATCTGTTTAGACATATACATAGAATTGGTCCAAACTTGGCAGGATAACTTTCCCTCTTACTTTTTCACGTTTGCAATTCAAGAATATACGTAGCCACACTTAGGATGATTCTCCAGAAGTCAAAGCACCTACCTTGGCCCGTGCCCCGAGGAATTCCCCTCGCGGGGCCTGCAGGGCCGCTGTCAGGAGAAGCCAGGAATCGGTCCCCGTTCACAGGCCCCTCTGCAGCAAGGCCTATGCTCTCTGGGTCCTCACCCCAACTTAGGATTTGTCTGGCAGGTGCAGGGTGCCAACAGGAGCAGTGCGTGCCTGAGTTAGTACCTAAGAGAGGTGGGCAGCATGCTCCAGCATCTGTTTAACAGGAATGTGTCGTTCCCTTGCCCAAAGCCCTTCCGTGGCTCCCCAGCCCCTCAGAAGGAGTCTGGATCTCTCGTGGTCTGAGGCCTTCCTTGCTGACATCCCCATTCTTATCCTCACGCCTGTCCTCTCACTGCCATGTGCCGGCCACCTGATTGAAGGCCGTTCTTCTGAGGCACCTCCGGATTCTCTCAGGCAGCTCCCCCTCGGCCTGGAGGGTCCTGCCCCTTCTTGACCCCACTGTTCCTCCTTCACGTCTGGGCTCCAGTAGCTTTCCATTCCCTGAGGTTAAGTCTGGCCACCAGGTGATGTGCTCCCATGGCTTCTTGTTCAGAAAGCACTGTGAGCACACACAAAATCATTTTACTCATCTTGGGAAAGTAAGTTGTTTCATATCTGTCTTCCTTGCTAGATCGTGAGATGAATGCATGCAAGGATGTGTGTTCATCCACCACTTGCCCCCAGAGCCTGACGTGGTCTGCCATTTGTCGGCCACACACGTGAACGGGAGCGTCTGTGGCGTGCAGACGGTGTTAGTGCCCGGTGTGGTGAGGAGATGGGCCACGAGCATCCACTTCTCGCTTCCCAGAAGGTTGCAGTGTTCTCTCTGAGGACGTTTTCCTGTGCATTTCCCCGGTGGCCCTCCTGTCTGTTGCATCAGGGCAAAGGATAAACAGAGCATGTCCAGCTTGATCCGCTGGCGTCCAGGTCAGCCGTCTGTTGTAATGTTGGTGAAACAGGATTATGTCAAGCATGCAAAACCACTTATTTTATTATCACACGCAGCTCTTACAGATACAAAGAAATACATCCGGCACATAGCATAAAATTAAATTATTGATTTTAAATTTGTGAAAATTACAAAATAAAGTTATTTGGCTGAAAAAGGAAAGCAGTCTTGGGGGTAGGGGAGCTTTTCAACAAGAGCTGATGGAATGAGCACTGGGTATTTATATACAACTGATGAATCACTGAACTCTACCTCAAACTAGTAGTACACTACATGTTAATTAATTGAATTTAAATAAAATAAATTTTAAAAAGGAATTCTCTCTGTGTTCTATCAGTTGTTAAATTTTAATGTTTTTCGGATTTGCTCATCTCAAGCTGCATCTCCCGCTTGGTGCCCTTCTTGCCCAGTTACACACAGGCGTCGACCAGTGGCGCTCTCCGTACCAGCAGCTGTCTGGCCTGGCCGTCATTCACCAGAAGGGGCTGGCGCTGGGCCCAGCACGGCAGGCCCTGCGTGTAGGAGTGGCTGTGCTTTCGGTGACACGTCCTGCTGTGTCTTACAGAGCTGCAAAAACTGGAGGGCAGCGGTTGACCTCTGCGGGCGCCTTCTCACGGCCCACGGCCAAGGCTACGGCAAGAGCGGGCTGCCCACCAGCCACACGGCAGACTCCTTACAGGTACAGCCCCTTTGGTCATGAAGGGGGGACAGGGAAGGGACGTGACCTTTCATGCCACTAAGAACAACGTGAGAACGAAAAATAGATTTTCTTAGCCCAAATTTAACGTCAACATGAGTTTACTCTAGTCTTCCTTTCCAGATCCCTGCTCTGCCTCTGCACCCAGAGGGCCCTCTGGCCCTTCAGAGCTGACTGCTCACCCACATCGCACTCTCCTCTCTGTGCCTCCCCTCTGCCTCCCCCCGTGGCGATTCCGTACCCTTCAGTGCCCGCCCCAGACGTGGCTCTGTCCACACCCAGCCCTGCCATCCCTGCTCTCCATTCTCCTCAACAAGGATTGGCAGATTAAGCCAAATCAGACAAAATCATTTACGTTGTTTTTATTAAGCTTGAGAGTAATTTTTATAAACATGTAATTAGGCAAATGTGCTAAGAAACCGAGAGTAGGTTTTGTTTTAATATACTGGAAATCAAGCTCTGCTACCAAATTAATAGGAAATAGGAATTTCTGAACTTGACATTCGTAGGTAATCTATTGTTTCAATTGTATTTTGTGTTTTAGCTTTGGTTTGTGAGGCTGGCACTGCTGGTGAAGCTGGGCCTTTTCCAGAATGCTGAGATGGAGTTTGAGCCCTTTGGAAACCTGGACCAGCCTGATCTCTATTACGAGTACTACCCTCACGTATATCCTGGGCGAAGAGGTAAGGCAGTGCCAGTCATATTTATGCCTTTGCGTGTAGTTTGCTTTGCTTTGCTTTGCTTCATACAGAACAAGCATCCTCAGTTTTCCTGGTGTGTCCAGTCTGGAAAAATCAAGTGAGTAGCCTAGCAGTGAGCCCTGACTTACAGAATGACCTCACTCAGTTTTCTAAACACGCTTCCCCGGACATCCCCACTGCGTAGCCATTCACCCTCTGACAACCCTGTCTCAGGCGCCTGCTGGGGGACAGCAGTAAGGCTTGGTATTAGACCTGGGTGGTGGTGTTTATTCAGACTTTTTGACTGTGCTGCCGTGTAAACAATAATCTTACGTCATGACCTACTGCAAATACACACAGAGAAACAAGACAAAACATTCTTGCAACAATACTTCGTGCCATTGTCTCCTGGTTTCTGTCCTGATTTAATTTACTTAAAAATCTGGTTGCAGTCCCCCAGCGTGTTCCAGCCATCATTTGGAAGACTCTGGGCTACAGCACGGGGTAGTTGTCAGCAAAAAATAAGGATTGGGGAAGGGAGAGCACAGAGGACAGAGAGCCCTCCAGGGCACGAGCAGCCTTGAGGGGGAGCAAACGTTTCTCAGTGGAGAACCTTGTAGATCTGTTGGAACCCATCCCATGTTCCTGTTGAGCCTAAGACAGTTTCAGGAGGACCTCTGCCGAGAGGCAGCTGAGGTGGTATTACTGAAGGCCAGGCCTCCACTGTCTGGCTTCCTGGTAAGTCCTGCCCTCCCCTTAGTCACGTGGGGCCTGGGCAAGTGATATGGCGTCTCTGTGTCCCAGCATCCTTACCAGGACAGCAGGGCTGATTCTTTTTAGGGTGTTGTGAAGCTCAAGCGAGGTCTTACGTGCAGGTTGCTGGGAACAGTGGCTAGCACATAGTGAAGACGGTGTTGGCTGTTTGCCGTATTCTGTTCTTAATTTGTCAGGAACACGCTGTAGATCACTGCCATCCTTTGTAAGATTGGCTGGTCAGCGTTTGTGGGATGTAACCGCAGAGTGAAAAAGGAAAGTTCTGGTTGTCAGGAAACACAGAATCAGAGTCAGGGAGAGAAAATAATAACAGCGCCAGAGAGTACAAAGGCCCGGTTAATAATAAAGATCATGTTGGCCATAGAATTGTCAAAAACTTACATCAGCATCTCACGTGGTTAACATGAGTAGTAGGTAAATACATGAGCTGAGAAGACAGAATTAAAACACATTTCTCAGCTCCTTTTTGTGTTGTTTTTCCTAATACTCAGATCCTGTTTCTGTGGAGGGGACACAGGGAAGGAGCAAGCTTTCTCCTTTATCGGGTTTACCCTCCACACGGGAGACAGGGGCCAGACCGCATGACTGAGTTTGCCCAGACTTGGAGGAGGTTTCTAGCACAGGGTACTTTCATACCTTTTAACCTCACTGGTGTTATTAGTCCTATTTCTTCCTTCTGACTAAGGGAAATTGCCCCTCATAGAATAGAAATGAATGGAAAAGGTGGGTTTCAGTACCTAAAGCCGGGCCAAAATCAGACCGGTTGGCTCGACAGAGTGGAAATGAAGCAGCTGGGTTGAGTGGACTCAGAGTCAGCAAAGGAGACAGCAGGCCCTCCTCCCGAACTTGTAAAACTTCTTCCCAGCCTGTGGCCTATTGGGTCCGGGGCCGGGACAGACAGAATCCAGGAGCCGCCAGGAGCAGTGTTCGGGAGGACACCCCTGCCCCTGGTGCTGCCCCAGGTGGAAGAGGTGGCTCAGGGGCCCCCATCCGTGCGGCCATGGCCTCAGGAGCCGTGTCTGCTGTAGGCCCCGGCCAGGTCTCTGAGCGAGTCTCCTCCCGCGCTCCAGCCCCAGGAAGCCCCCGGGGGTGGTGGGCTCCGTCCGTCGGAGCCCGGCTGTGGGTGAGCCCCACGTCCTCCTGTGCGCTGGAAATTCAAACCGCGGTGTTCGGAGGGTGCAGCCTTCTCCTGGTCGCTCAGGGGATACTTCTCTAGCTCGCAAATGAACCGTGTCCTTTTTCATCTACACGTTCCAGTCATTTGAGCTTCCTTCCTTACCTGAAAGGCGATGAGCAGACTTCCACCCCAGAAGGAGGTGAGTCTCTGTAGCCACTTCTGATAGCTCTGATGGAAAGGTGCCCAAGGAGGGGTTAAGGGCAGTGCCCAAGGGGGATGTTTGGGCATACTTCTGCTTGATAAATTATGCCTGGTGGCTTTGGCAATCGAGACAGGACAGGGTAAGGGCGCCTGGGTGGCTCAGTCAGTTAAGCGTCTGCCTTCGGCTCAGGTCATGATCCCAGGGTCCTAGGATCAAGTCCCGCATCGGGCTCCCTGCTCGGCGGGGAGCCTGCTTCTCCCTCTGCCTGCCACTCCCCCTGCTTGTGCTCTCTCTCTCCCATGCTCTCTCTCTGGCAAATAAATAAATAAAATCTTTAAAAAAAAAAAAAAAGGACAGGATGGGATATTCTCATACTTCTAATGAGGAACAGCTATGTTTCTCTTCAGCATAAAACAAAAATGTTTCTTCCCGCCCCACCTCATTGCAGCCAGAGTGCGGCCACCAGCCCCACCCCTGTTGCATGATCATGCTGCTAGGCAGGAGGCTGCCCCCTCTGCAGCTGTGGGGGTCGGCGGCTGGTGTCCATAGGTGTCTCGTCTACAGCGGACAAAACTTAACTTTGGGTACACAGGCCCACCTCTTAGTAGCTCCGAACTACTGGATTCCCTAAAGCATGCAGCTTCACAAGTGCCCCGATTTCTGTTCCTGTTGAGGTCCATGAGAATTGTAGATTCAAAATGACTGTGCATCCATCAGCTGCTTCTGCATTTACCATGGCGTTTAATGAGTGAGAGATGAGAAGGCAGGTATTTCCTGTGGTGGCCACTGCTACTCCCAGCCCTCCCGTCTGTGAACACAGCACTGGCTGGTGTGCCCTGTTTGGTGATGCTTCCTGTGTCCTGGAGTCCGGGGACTCTGCCTCTTCATCCGGCTTTCGGGAGCACGGCTTGGTGGAGCTGGTACCAAACTTCCTGTAAAATGAGGCATGAGATTTCAGGGTCAGGTGCAGCACTCCCTGTCACCTTTAGCCTCAGTTTTGAGGACATATTTTCCCAAAGATGTGCAGACAAGAAAGCACGCTTCTGATTCCGCCTGAAATGAAATTGCACTGGGATATGGATAAAGAGAAGATAGTAGCCATGCATCATTAAGCAGCTAATTTAAATTATGAAATAGACATAAATCATACATACATTTCAGCTAAAATGTGTTAACATTCATCCACAGTGATATGCTGAATGTTTACTAATTTTCTTCTCATTTTTTGATGTAACAAGCATAAATGTAAGATTTTGATTCATTCATTTCATTTCAGCTTGTATATAAGCAAAGAAAGTCATTAAGATGTGCTTTAAAGCGGACGCTGTAACAATATAAACAAATAAATAACTTTTATGAATGAGCTTTAATATATTTTATTTAAATATCGGGCATAATTTTTACCCATTCAGAATATTCATAGCAAAACATCTAATGAATCATGAGTAAAAATCATGAAGTGCTTTGTTTTGTTTTTTAAATTTTCATCCAAGAAAGGAAGAGTATTGTGGTCTGATACATGTCTAGCAATTTCATATTTAATTTCTGCCTGTCTCAAGAGTGGAGTGTGTGTGTTTCCAGAAACTCAGCACTGTCTTTTAATCGGTTTGAATTCTCCCTCCTGCTTGAAAGAAAGAACAGTAGTGAGCATTGAGCCGCCGCAGGCTCAACCCTGTCCCTGGGTCTCTGTCCTCCACTCCTCCCTCCCTTGGGAGGCCGTCCGTCGGTCCCTGTCCCTCAGGGCTCCAGAGGTTGGCTTAGGGGCTGCTCGCATCGGACCCTTGCTCAGACTTCCGACAGTGGGGTGAGAAGCGTTCAGAGCTCAGACTCCGTGTTGAGCAGCGAAGTGGTGGGTCATGAGCAGATTTGACACCTTAGGGTCACACTTGGCTACCAAGCCCTCCCTGTCTTTGTCACCGGGTGCAGGAAACTCCAAAGATCAGTGCTGGTGGTAAGGGTAGAAGATGTCAAAACAAGAAGGAAAATTGAGCTCCATGGTAACACCATGTGGCCTCTGTGTCCGGGGCAGAGAAAAAGAAAGATAAGCGTGTCATAAGGTTCTTTCTTTCTTGTGGCGCTCTGATTTTGAGAGACAAGTCCCCTACCTGTGAGTTCTAACTCTGTCCAGTAGGGTCCTCTCTAAATTCCTGGGGACGCCATCACTGCTTCACAGGAACTGAACGCCCTTGGGCACAGGGATTGGTTTGCACGTGTGGGCATGTTGGGTGTTTCTGTGTCGCTCACTTCCTGTTCACCCCGATTCCCATGCACTTCTGTCCCTGGGAAACCCAGTCTGGACATGCCCCCTGCTTGAGTCCTCTTTACTCTTCACTCGACCCAAATTGACTATTTTAGTTAAACGTCTTTTAAACACAAGAAAGAATTTTATTAAACACTCAGTAAATATTAACATTTTTCCACATTTACTTCAGCCATTTTTGCAATAAGTTCAAGTATACATTACCAACGTGGTCTTTCAGGCGCCCCAGTTCCGTCCCCTCCCAGAGGGGTCACTCCCACGCGTGTGTCTTGTGTGCTCACAGGCCGTGTTTTCACACTTCCGCTGCATGCACACACATACTCACAGAAACATGGAAGTGTCTGGTGCACACATCCTTGCGTTTCTCTAAGGCCCACGTTCAAAGTGCCACTGCCTGGCTGTATGGCGTTTGTATTTTCAGTTTTATTTTTTTTAAGATTTCATTTATTTATTTGTCAGAGAGGGAGAGAGAGCACAAGCAGGGGGAGCAGCAGGCAGAGGGAGAAGCAGGCTCTCCACTGAGCAGGGAGCCCAATGTCGGGCTCGATCCCAGGACCCTGGGATCATGACCTGAGCCGAAGGCAGACGCTTAACCAACTGAGCCACCTAGGAGCCCCTGTATTTTCAGTTTTAAAGGAAAACAGTCAGAT